AAAATTTAAAAAAATCAGTTTGACTGTTCGGTAGTTCTAGTGTTAAATATTCTATTGTCCTACAGTATAATCATAGACAACAGAATAATGTTTCATTTTAATTCATGGGAACTGAGTAATATTTATGTTTGATTAAATTCTACTTAAAAACTTACATACTTTGTTCATAAGTAATGAATTGAAATGAAACTTTCGGCATATCTTGTATATAACTTTGTATATTTTGCAATATTCCATATTGCCCTGCGTTTCAAAAATTGAAACAGCTAATGCAAGTGCAAACACGAGTTAACTCGTGACCGGTCAACAACGTGTTAATTACCTTTTCCCGGGCAGATTTCCAAGGCCATATCCCGCAATTAACCAGTTAACTGTGTTTGACGAGTATACACGTCACCTTAAAACTCTTAATGGTGCTAACCTTTTCAACGATGGATTATTTATTTTTTCAGACAAACATGTAATTCCTCTTCGTTTCGCTTCACTTTTTCGTTAGAATATATTTCAAGTGCATTTGGCTTGCATTTAACGAGTATACACTTCATTTGATTTTATTGCGCGCACAATGAGAGATTCTTCAAACTAAATTCCACATTTAACTGGTTAACAGATTAACCCTTTGAACTCTAGGTTCCAATATTGCACCAGTTATAATATTAAATATTCTAATGAATATTAAAGAAACTACCCTAACATTATTCGATTTTCCATCCGAATTTTTTACTAAGAAGGAAAATAAAAGATCGAAGAAATATAGTATTTCTAATTTTCGCTAGGAATACTATAAAAATTCGTTGCAGTTGCTGATAGATTACAAAACAATATGGAGTGCCAAGGGTTAACCCTTTGCGGTCCACTGTCCAGTACCACTAGATATAATTCCATTGACATACTAACTGTTCTTGCAATTGCAATTCACATAGGGAATCGCTCTAAAAGATACCATATATCAAGAATTTCGAATTTTAATTTGTTTTCACAAGCAAACAAAGGAATTCATTGCAATCGTATATTTTTCTCGTTCATTCAAATTGACTTATTTCGTTCTGTAAGTTAACCTGCCTAGCACTCTAATAAAATGAACGGACCGCAAAGGGTTAAAGCGTAAGGGAAACAAATCTTTGCACTCGGAAGTTTCTCACTAGAAATGTGTAACATTCTTTGAGAGATATCTCGTTAGATGTCGAGTATTTCCAGTGAGAAACTTCTGTAGTGCAAAGGGTTAATACTTGATTTCAAATTTCTCATCCAGTTGGCTGTGAACCATGAATACGCAAATAAAAATACAAATGTATACAAATCAAAACGCATTGGTAAGTCGTTCAGACCGTTGTAATTAACCCTTTGCACTCGGAAGTTTCTCACTAGAAATGCGCAACATTTTTTCAAATATATCTCGTTATGAAATATGGAGTATTTCCAGTGAGAAACTTCTCTAGTGTTAATACTTGATTTCAAATTTCTCATCCAGTTGGCTCTGAACCATGAATACGTGAATAAAAATGAATATGTATACAAATCAAAACGCATTGGTAAGTCGTTCAGACTATTGTAATTAACTTTTGCACTCGGAAGTTTCTCACTAGAAATGTGCAACATTTTTCCAGAAACATCTCGTTATGAAATACTCCATATTTCCACTGAGAAACTTCTGTAGTTAATACTTGATTTCAAATTTCCCATCCAGTCGGCTATGAACCACGAATACGCGAATAAAACTAAAAACCATAAAATACTATATAAATACTATAAAAATTAGTTGCAGTTGCACAGATCACAAAACAATCCGAAGTGCCAACGGTCAAAGGAACATATCCACGAGCATCGATTCGAGCCGCGCTCGATTTCCTCCGGGTCCCAGTAGGAAGCCGAACGTCGACGCTCATGGACAGATTATTCGGGACAGGTGGGTACACAGGCGAACGGGGCCCGTGTAGATACGCCGGGCCGGCGCGGCGTCCGGTGTGCGTGGGCCCCGGCGCGTATATATTTTATAATTAGCCCCGGGGTCCCGGGCCACGATAAATCAGCGCGCCGCCCGGGCTTAAGACTTAATTAAAAATTTAGTCAAAAACCAATTAGCGGCTACGCCGGATTAACATATTTCTAATTATCTGCCGGACACTTTCGGCCGCCCTATACCGCTGCCTCGACTACTTGCCATATAAGAGGGAGCCGCGGCGCGGCTCTCTGCCCGCCCGATGACTTTGCGATACATTTCGCGTTCGAACGGAACGCTCTTCTCTTCTCTTCCTTCTCCCCCCGACCGATCTCTACGCAGCGACATAATACTTCTTTCAGGGCACGCTGCCGAGGGGAAAGGTCGTTGCCACGGTATCGAGACCAAGGGATTATTGTCTCCCATTTTCGTTCTCTTTCATCGATCCGTCGTAATGACGACTTTGTTCGATCCGGGTTCGATGCCTTCGGACTTACCTTCTACAGAGGGAGTAATTGGTTGTGTCGGTTATTTCTATATCACGTTTGTTTGACTTCGCGAGGCATCGATGATGTCTTGATTGATTATTTGGGAGTTTTAGATATTGTGAACTAAACTGAAGAAATGTTGTAGAGCGGATGCTTGGAATGTGAAAGTGATTTCTTCTTGAGAGTCTACTATTGACTAGTAACATTTCAATGATACATTCTGTCACCCTCGCAATTACATTTTGTATGGTAACCGTTCGAGTCGCAGCGGCGCGATGGTGTTTTTCCGTCGCATTGTCTAAAAGTGCCAGTCTATTGTGGTATAGGTGAAGCTTATTTAACTCTTCCCTTTCGAAGTGTTCATTGTTATTCTTGTTATTACTCGCCTGGGACTGGAAATATGTAACGGTCGCGCTATTTGAAACTTGTTTCTGTGAAAATAGAAGAGCGTAAGGCAGTTTCTAAATTGAAACGAAGGGAGCGCGATCGCGCCGCTTGGTTTTCGAGTTTTTGCAAAATTAAGGATTCAAACGGTTAACACATTGCGTACCGGTAACGAGAAATCTCGTTTGTATATAAAGACACTTAGTTATGCAACTTCGCTAATTACCATAGCATTGGAAAAAATATAAAATTTGATTCGAATTGATTATCTATTTAATCAATTACATATCAATATCAATTATAATTTTCTTACTATGTTTTTCAAGAAATAAATCAAAGTAAATTTATTTATATAAATATTTGTGATCTCATTAGATAACTACTCTTATTAATTCTTTTACATACACACCCAATCACTTACGTATTTTTGGTAAATATCCACATAAGTTTAGCATCCAAACGGTTAAAATATATTACATAACAACATATCTGAGTTTCTCTATGTATAGCGTTACAAGTTGACCTCAGTGAAAATTGCCATCAAAATTAATTTTCCTGAAAATTCCGGTAGGCAACGTGTTAACTGCGCTCGGACCGCGAAAGAGAGTGCGTCGATGAAATAGAGGAATCGTGGCAGCCCGCGTCAAGAATGGCAAACACAGACTGCGTAAATACTGAAATCACTTTTATTTCGCTATGGTATACTTCCATGGATAAATTATATCATGTTACATTTATACAGGGCGCTTAGGTACATCCTGGGGGCCTGGCTCGCAGCGTCAGCGCCCGGCGGCTAGCTGGCCACCATTTCCCTCGATCGATCGCGGGTACACGTACAGTACAGAATTTACATTTCACTTCGTGCCCGGAGGCAGGCTTGCGCTCGCCGCGCCGGCTCGCGCGCGTATGTACACGATTCTTCGGGTTTCGTATCGTAGCCCCTTACGCTCGCAATAAAACCACCGTTCACGCTCGCCGTGTCGCTCCCGCTCGCCGAGGACGCGCGAATTTCCGCGTCGCGATCGGACCAACAGATTACATCCTACGAATTCGTCGCGTCGTGTCGCGGCTGCCTCGGTTCCCGTGGTAATTCCTGTTCGTCAACGGTGTCGTCCGCTTAACATCACGGTACACTCCGCTATGAAAGCATAAATATCATTCGAACATCAAAGAAACTTTCAACGGAAAATATCCAAAAGAGAAACATCGAACTAATAAACATCACTCGAACAGCAACTTTCAACAGAAAGTACCTCTAACATCGAAACCATTCGATGCTCCAGATTCTACATCAAATACGAACCGAGTATCGAATAATCAAGCTCAACCTTCGCGTCGCAAACTATACACATCTTTTTCGTTAGGCTGACGTCAATTCGGATCTTTAATTCATAGGACGTTCGCGCGAAAGATTTGATTTGAAAATTGACATGTTTACGTATATCCGAAACGCTCGAGCTTCGATCCGAACGCGTCTTAATTTCGATTCGCTTCGACCATGGAAATTCTTATTCCCCGATCAGCGAGACTATGATTCGATCGCGAATTCACCCCTCGAGGGAGGCTTTTCACCGGGAAAGTTCCACCCGATGATGGACGCAGCGCGAAAGTTTAAGTGGACGACAACCGTGCAGCGGCGAAGTTCACCGA